CTTCCTTAAATTTTGAATTTGAATCGGATGTTGATGCCATTTCTTCAACCTTGCTCTGATACCAAATGTAGGGTCTGATTTTGCTTATGTATACCAAGTGTAGGATCATGACCCTTAAGAATAGAGTGCGTTCTTATAAAAAGCTGCGGAAGCTTTATTACACTTAAACACTAGAGGGTGAGTTTGCAAAGTAGATTATAAATTAAAAAGAAAGAATGACAATCTCATAAAATAAACATCACAAACACAAACATGTATACTGGTTCCACCTCTCCGGTGTACATCCAGTCCCCAAGCAAATCCCGCTTGAGAGTTTCCACTATGATTTTAAAACCTTACAAAATTAAAAGCAAACCTGACCAATTTGCAAGACAATGTAAATTGTAAACCCAATTGACAAGACCATGTTAATTGTAAACTGTCCTCTAGACCAAGAGATCAACCCCTCTCATAAACCGAGAGAACCTTTCTTTGAAACAATATACAATTCTAATCCTATAAACCTTGATGTGGATGTGAACATGTAACAGTGGCTTATCAATCTTTTTAACTCTCTGGATTTTGCGTAAACAAGCTCTAAGAATTATAGGAACAAAGGCAATATCAGAAACTCTCTTTTATGGAAAAACAGATTAAAAAACTGAAAGTTTAGAGAGTTAATTTATACAATATGTATATCTTATAAGTGCAAAACTTGGTGCTTATTTTATGATGTTTAAACCTATTTATAGCATCAAAGACATAATTTTAAACCCAATTAACATCCACAAAACGACTATAAACAATCACTTATTCAAAACCAGAAATCTGGAAAAAAAAACTACATCTGTAGTCGATTATAAGTCATAGTAGTCGACTACACTGAGTCTAAACATACTCTGTGAAGTCAGAAAATTGCTTAGTAGTCGACTACAAGGCATAGTAGTCGACTACACTGTAAACTCATAGATTCTGAAATTATATTTTTAGTATTTTGGCTGTAACTTTCTCATCTGATATCGGAATGAGGTAATTTAAGATTGTTGGAAAGCTGTTGAAGATACTTATAACTTTGGTCTTTTGAGTTTTTCTAGATTCTAATTGTTAAGGGGTATAAATAAAATATTTTTAAAACTCATTCAATATCTATAAACTCTAATGGCTAACATAGGAGGTTTTTATTGTTAACCAACACACTAAGCATGTATTAGTATATTCTAACACTATGTGTGTGCATGTGTGTGAGTGATCAAGGCTTGTATAAATTTCTAAGCAAATAAAATATAAAATTATATTTTGACAATAAAGTATATCTTCTTCTTTACTTTATTTTGCCTTGAACTCATCTATGACTTGAGTATCTCTTTGAATATAATTATTGATATAGCTATGATACTGCAAAACAAATTTTAGCACATAATATACACAACATATAATATTTGTTATCATCAAAATAAACTAATCTTGGGGTCAAGATTCCTAACAATAATGTGATATTATGTTATGATGATGTCCGGATATATAATGTATGTAACCAAAGTTTATACTAGTAATCAATTGGAGAGACAATAAATACAACCAACATTGCTATTATAAACTTCATGGCGATGCAGATAATGAAGAAAATGGTCTTTTCTGAGCACATTTTCTATAAATTGTGTTAAGTTTTGGTTTGGTTTCAATATTGGGTTGTTCCAGTCTTGGTTTCGCTCGAGTTGGTTTCAGCCTTAGTTCAATCTTGGATATTATATGCTAGCGATCGATGTACTTGTAATCAATTGGTTGTTATGACGTTCAATTATGTCTTGTTCATTGAGCATTTTGGTTCTTCGTTATATGAGATGATTATATGATTTTGGAATATTTTGGTTCTTCGTTATATGAGATGATTATATGATTTTGGAATTAGCCCCTCAAATCTTTGAATATGTTGCAAATCACTACCTCAAAGATTATATGATTTTGGAATTAGCCCCTCAAATCTTTGAATATGTTGCAAATCACTACCTCAAATCTTTTTTAAAAATTGCAAATTTGTCCCTTAAAATTTTAAATATTTTTATATGATGATTGATATATGTTCACCTCTCAGTTTATGTTGGATATAAATTTATGCTATAGGGTGGTAAGCACACCATGGTGACCATAGTCATATTTTCTTTCTTTTTTCATTTGAACCAAACACTAGAAAGGGAGGGAATCTATTCACACATCATTTGTTTTCTTCTTTTTTCAAGTTGAACCAAACTAAAAAAGTGGTGGAAAGTACTTTCAGCTCATATTTTTTGACGAAACAAACACAAGAAACACTTTCCATGAAAGTGAAGAAAACACAAAAACGTGAAGGAAAATGAGTTTTGAAAAATGAAGGAAACGAACTAAACAGGTCCTAATACAAAATAATAAATAAGATTCGTTTTTCGGAAGATTGAAGCTTGTATTTATTGCCGATCTTTACTAGAAACTGAAAATCTTTTATGCGATGAAAAACTATAAAGAAGAAATATGGTTGGTTACAAAATGCCTGATAAATTATGCACTTCGTTTTTAATGTGAAGGTCCGATGCAGTTGGAGAAAAGATTATCCTGATTTATTATTACATTGTCGACCATTTTTACTAAAAAAATGTCTAATCCTTCTGCCAATGTATAAATCAAAGATTCATATATCAATCTAAGTTATCAAGTACATATTATGTACATTGCTGGATGTTATAGGTGGAGATTTTGGTTAACTGCTATGTACATTTGCTTGGTGCTCTTGGAGTTGGCTTGATTTGGCCCTCTTTTGAGTCTTCTTTTATTTCTCAGTTTTGATTTAGTCTTGGTTTGGCTCATGGCTATATCAGTTGTATAGAGTTTTTGTTGGTTTATGAGAGTTTTTCCTCTGTTTTTATTATGCGCAAGTAGGGATGTGCCGATGAAGTCAGTACTTCAATTTACATTTTTTATAATTAAAAAAAATTACTTACCAAAAAAGAAAAAAAAGAAAAACCCATAATTGATAACATTAATAATAATTACCATCATTTAACTATTTTGTTAGTACCTAACACCTCAAGAATCATGAGCTAAAGAAGGATTTTCTGCACTTTATGAAATCAAAAAGAATATATTGGAAATTGAGTGCTAATAAAGTAGTTAAGGGTACTAAGAGTTATTTTTATTTCACCTTTGAAGACCCCTATAGGTTTTATCTTTCTCTTCTAAGAAGCATTTAACTTCCTATACGATAATGAAGCCCCTAAGTTTTTGCCCCTCCTATCTAAGAAGCATCAAGTTTACTGTTTTGACATTGAAATCTCTAAATTTTATCACGTGCTAATAAAGTAGTTAAGGGTGCTAATGGTATATTTAGAATATGACTAAGGGAAAGGAAGGAAGGGAAATGTTTTCCCTTCCTTCCCTTCTCCTTCTTTACCCCCAATTTGGGGGGGGTAGGGTAAGATTTTAGTTCAAAATTTTCCCTCATCTACCCTTCTAAATGGAACTCTCAAACAAAAGTAAACAAAATTTCCCTTCCCCTTCTCTTCTCTATCATCCATCCAAACATGTCATAAAAGTTATTTTTATTTTACCTCTGAAGACCCCTCTAGGTTTTATCTTTCTGTTCTAAGAAGTACTTAACTTCCTATACAATGAAGCTCCTAAGTTTTTGCCCCTCCTGTCTAAGAAGCATCAAGTTTACTATTTTGATATTAAACTCTCTAAATCTCATCCCTTCATTCTTGAAAGCCGTTAATTTTCTTCTTTTGACGATGAAGTTCCATAGATAACAAGAAGAGTGGGGGGCTTACTAGAAGCGAGAGCTCAAACATACTTGCTTTGTTGTCAAAAATAAAATCATTAGTTTCTTGAAAGAGAGAGGAGTAAAATCGCACGCGGATTCGCAGTGGGGCCAATGGGGTCAATTGCCTCCACTGACCGCTATAAAACCATATTTAGTATTTGGTCTAAGATCTTGTATTTGCCCCTATACGCTTCCAGCCTGTTGAAGCAGCCCCTCATATCTTTGAAACTAAATGCTTAATGGAACAAACCCAACATATTTACCGAATTGTCATTACTCTATCTCTAGATAAACATTGTAATTTCTACCAAATTCTTCTAAAATCCCTCTATTATTTTTTATAATTGCGGCTTTGCTCTGTTGCAAAGATCGTCAATCTATACGGTACGCAGACATCAATTCCTCCTCCCAACCGCAGGCCCTCATCCCGCAAGATCATCGCACCACTCTCGATATCAAGGATTGTGCAAACTCCCTTATACTCTAATGTTTATCATAAAAATATGACAATGCGGCAGGAACCATTATTGAATTTTAACATAACACTTCTATTCGGCTATATTTTGTTTGTAGATATAATATATATGCATATTTGGTTTTGCTGTCATACTATTTTAGGTATAAATATTGCACACAAGTTATAATTGTAGTCTTGACTAAAGTTCCTGGATCCACCCTAGGTGAAACCTTTGGGTTTCATTTTGTTAGGCCCTTATTAGAAATATGGTAAAATGCAAATGTTGTTTCTATTAATTTACTCCACACAATTATATATACAATGTTGCACTCCCTCTCAAAATACAATTTTGGATTTTTTTTACGATATTAGTTCTCCAAATATTTCATATTTCCGTGAAAAAAAATTTAAAGTTTATCTTAGCCCCCAGATCTTTTGATCTTTAAAATTAATCCCCGTCTTTCCTACTTTGGAATAAGTCTCCCCGGACCTTTCATATTTTGAAATTCATCACCCAAACCTTCATATTTTGAAATTTGTTCCCTAAGTCCTAAAGTATTTTGAAATTAAGCATTCTAAAGTTGGTCCTTCTAATTAGCATTAGGTTGAGATATTCGGTTCGGAGGACTAATTTCAAAAATATTCGACAGATTTTGGGGGCTACCTTCAGAACATGAAGAATCTGGGTACCAATTCACAACGATTAAGAATTTAGGGGACTAGTTTGAAAACACTAAGATATGGGGACTAATACCAGAAAGCCCCTATACTTAATCTGCGTTAGCCCTAGATCCTTCCTCTTCTTCTCTCCCTTCGTCCGTCGAACACGAAAACTAACAAGCGGAGATGGCGCTGTTAATGGATCCGGGTGCGGACCCAGTAACCGATAACGAGCGCGCAGACTTAGAAGCCATCGCCG